AAACATGCCAGATACGCTTAGATAGGAATTTAAGTTTCAAATAGGGAATCTGGATAAATTTCTGAATCTCTACTGAGGTCTCTATTTCCATATGGCAAAAAAAAGTTTGCCTCCTAGCTTATGTCATCAGCTTCTATTACAGTTCTGACAGATTATTGATGAGAAAGCTTGGAAGGGAGTTACAGAATCAAAATGCAGAATCAGAATGCAGTCACTGGAAAAGCCCTCTTTGGCTAATATAATTTTCATTCTGCATTTGTGGTGCAGTGAAGTCAACTCTTTCCACTCTATGGTCTCAAACTTATCACAAGCACAGCCAACAATTCATAGGTTTCATCTTGACAAGCAGCCTGCCTATTTCTGTTCTCTGTTTATTCACTTTAGCTTGACAATATGGAGCTGAGGGCAAATATATGGATATTGCTCCTGCTTCAACTTCCAACTATGTTGGAAATTGGAATTGGAGAATTTATTAATAAAGTTGTAGACTGATCATAGTAGCCTATTAAGAAATCCAGAGCCATCCATAGCAAACTGCAATGCCACCAAAATAACAACATGTGTACAGTGACATCATTGCACATATCCTGAAATTATGAATTTGTGTCCCCATGTATTTAAACTATTGCATTTGTATCATACACATGTCATCATCTATAACCACTTGTTTCCCTGTAGCCATCTATGAGACCATCCCCTATCTATTCTGTGAATTACCTAGCTCTGAGTTAAGGAAATAAATCCTTCATCATTTCTTTCCTATTTGTCACAAGTCTTCTGTTATTTTGACTTCCTGATACTTCAGTGCCTATCAGATTTTCAGCACATATAGAGCTAATTTACCTGCTTACAGAGAAGATGTCTGGTGGTAATGGCATCCACTACCTAGGCCATGAGCCAATGCCACCCATTGATATAGTTACATTGAAATTAGGGAGATACCTATCCAGCAAGTGAGATTTCCAAGAACCTTTAGAAAATCATTTGGGTCAAACAGTCTTCAAGTTGAACCCTTATAATAGGTTTACTACTATTCCTGCATAGGTGATGGATGCTATTAAAAGTACATTCTATCAATTCAATTGAATCAGAATAGAAATGGAAGGGAACTTGGTGGTCTTCTAGTCCAACCCCCCTGCTCACACAGGAGACCATTTCAGACGTATGGCTTTTCAGTCTCTTCTTAAAAACCTCCAGTGACCCACAACTTCTGAAGGCAAGTTGTTCCACTGGTTAATTGTCCTCACTGCTAGAAAGTTTCTTCTTAATTCCAGGTTGCTTCTCTCCTTGATTAGTTTCCATCCATTGTTTCTTTCCTGTCCTCTGGTAGTTTGAAAAATAAGTTGATTGATTCCTTCTTCTTTGTGGCAGCCTCTCAAATATAGAAATACTGCCCCGAGTCCTTCTTTTCTCTAGACTAGCCATACCCAATTTCTGCAACTGTTCTTCATATGTTTTGGTCTCCAGGCCAAATGGTTCTCCCATTGTATTAATCTGGAGGAAGGACATCATTTGAAGTTCATTAAAAATCACAAGAATGCAAATGAACTCTTAATGGAAGACTACATAAAACTATTTTTATATAAGTTGTCTGCTTTCTGGTGCAGACCGCTGATAGCCAGCTTGTCTGAATGAAGCTGTCCTTAGGTGTGGGTAGTAAGCATGTTCTTTATCTTTGAGCTTTGATTCTTCGAGCCCTCCAAGCCATTCTATGTTATCAATAAAACATCTTGTTTCCTTTGACTGGCAGGAGGTCTTCAATAGCTTAAGGAAATTGTGTCTCTCTGATGCTCTTAACTGGAGATGCCACGGACTGAATTAAGAATATTAGAAATGCAATACAAGTGCTGTCACATTGAATTTCAGCGTTCTCTATATAAGTCTTTATTATAGTCAACTAACAAAAAGGCAACAAAAATAGAAAAACAATAGAAAGAATTTCAAGTACATTGTTCATAGGACATATTAAGATAACTTTGGAGCTTACTTTAGACATTCAAACCAATAATTCTCTATTCTAAACTACCGTTATAGAATATAAAGACAACATGATGTTAGTTTTTCATTAAAGGTGTTTTTAAAAACTATGAAAAAAGGTTACTGGTTTATTCTTAATATTTTAGTTTGAAATATTGAAACTCTGAAGAGGGACTTATATTAAAAATATGGTCTAACACAGTGGTCCATGAGAAAATTTTGATGGTCCACAGAGAAATGTCACCCCCAAAGCAATTAATCCAGGCTTTGTGGGAACACAAGGCTATGCTGCCCACATGGCCCGTGGGAACACAAGGCTTGCATCACTTGCATTGTGAACATGAGGTAGCGAGGGGAGGGGGGAAAGGGCTGGGGGAGACTTGACCTACTCGCCCCATGTGCCTTGCCTGGCCACTGGGCTGCTTCTTTCCGCTTCTTCATCTGCTTTTGGCTGCACGCAAGGAAATCAGCAAAAGTCTTTCTTTCTCTCCCCCAAACTCCACCAGAAATGAGTCTTTGGGACCTTGCAAGGCATCCTGCTCCAAGAGGCTGCGCTGGCAAAGATTCATTTCTGGTGGAGTTTGGGGGAGACAAGGAGACTTCTGCTGCTTTCCTTGCATGAAGCCAAAAGTCTCTCTCCCCCCGCCCCCCCCAAGAACAGAGCTGGAGACGGTATCCTGTGATCTCAAATAAAGAATGGTTGATTGGTAGGAAAACAGGGTGGGGAATTATCCTGCAGACTTTTGGGGGGATTTTCCCAGGATCTCTGGTCTGCGGGATTTAAAATTATGAGTTTGGTGGTCCCCGAGGTCCAAAAGGTTGGTGATCCCTGATCTAACATTTCTGGACAGTTTATTTTTACTGCACTCAAGCAGTCCCCTTTCCTGAATTCTTCTTTCTATGCAGATTGCTCACCTACAGAAGAAAGTATGATGGAATTGAACTCATCCCCCCCAAATTAAAGCATTAGTTAGCCTTCTGTACACTCATATATTTGAACAGAAACATCTTTACTCAGCATCAGTATAGAAGAACTTCAACCCCAACAATTCCCCAGGCAGCATACTGACGAATAATGGTAATTGAAGTCCACACATCTTGTAGTTACCAAGTTTGAAAAATACATGACTAGATCTTCTTTATGAGGTTAGTGCAGCCATTTTCTTTCTTTGCTTGAATTCAGATAAACTAATATAAGGCTAGTTGTTGTTTTGAGGGGGAAAATCATATACTGCATAGCTCTCACCTTCCTGCCTAACTTTTCCTGTGACTCCATTACAAATTACAAGTACAACTAGGAGAGGGAGTAGAATGGGAGGGAGAGGGAGAGGGAGAAAGAGACAGAGACCTGATGTAAAAAGACAGTGAAATATGTAGAATAAAACATAAGCATCATATTAAGTCTTATTAGTAAAGATGTCCTGGGAGCAGGACTAAGCAACTGAAATGAAATGAAGACTAACAAGCCTGTGAATTTGTTTATTTATTTTTGCCAATTAGACAATACATATCCTATTGTGTTGCCATACTGCTGTAGGTTTGCAGAATATTTGCGGCATAAAAATCATATCTGTTTAAACCCATGTGCAAATTTTCTAGCTATGAAGAGCGAAGGGCACATATTCTTTTATTTTAACAAATGTCAGTGATCCTTTTGAAACACTGCCTCTAAGGATTTATCGATGGGAGAAGCCTCTGGGTTTTTTTTTTTTCAGGTAATTACGTTTACATCATATATATAGCAGATACAAAGAAGCATGTTCCATGCCAGAAGCCATACCTCTATTGAAATTGTATAAAATGGGAAGTGATATAAGGAAAGCCTGCTGTATTCTCGCAGCATTTGCTTCATAAGTCAGCTATAAATGTCAACTCTCCTAAGATCTTTCCAGGTGATACCAAATGCATCATTTTCTTTTAGCCCTAAATACACATCACTGCAAATCAGCACCCACAATTCCAGCTTGCAAACCATACTTTACCAGCCATGTAGATTGGTTTATTGTAGCCTATAAATGCCACCTATTTCATATCACCTGCCAGATGTTAAAGATGGCTTGCATTGTGTTGCCAACAATGCTGCTGTGTTTCTCATTTTCTCATCAATTTTGGTTTGGCTTGTTTTTCCTGAGTATAGAAACTCATCAAACATAAGTTGTTTCTTCTTCTTTTCTTTACATCTTTCCTAAATCTATTCTTAAGCAGTAGTTTTGTATATAAGTAGTCCTCATTTAGTAACCACAATTGGGACAAACAGCTTAGTTGTTAAGTGAAATAGTCACTAAGTGAAATAACAAGTGTTACTATGATCTTACTTCAGGTTTTCTTTACTTTACATACTTGTGAAGATCCTAAATGCAAGTGCTTTTTCATCACTGTTGTAACTTGCTAAAGTGCAATCACTAAAAAAGGACTACTAGGACTGCTTCTAGGAGTTTTAAACAGTGACTTTAAAAAGAAGCACACATGAATTTATAAAGCCTTGTAGGAATTAAGCCTGATGCATTTATTCAGTGACATTACTGATTGCTAGAAAGAGAATATACACCGTAGAACAATTTAGAGAAAATTATTTTGAATATCCATAGCTTCATCCTTATTGTCTCCTGATGAAGCTATACACATCTGAAATCTTATACTGCCACGATTCCAGCTTAGATATTATGACAGTTAATATAATTAATATATACCTTTTGTGTGTTTCTTTTAATGCATACATATTTTTTCTGTACATCAACTTTTCCTAATATAATTCATTTTTAATCTTTGTCACTGTCTGTCTGTTTTGTGTGCATATGTCACCACATATAATTTCAGCTTCTCCCTGACCTACCAAATGTGTGAAATTGTTGTTGCTGTTACAGTTTTCATACGTTAAAGAAATATGCAGAAACTTTCTAGTTCCAAAATGTTAGCAAATTATCCACCATATTGAAAGTTCTGACCTGCTGGAAATTATCCATGAGGGCATTTGTTATTTTCCTCTTAATTTGTTCTAATATGCACCATTTCCCACCTCTCACCGTGTTAAACCGCTTCCTCACTTCCTTTTCAGCACTGGGAATACTTCCCTTATGAGTGTCAGAATCTCTCCGAGGGGTCAGAGGTTGCCCTGTGAAGGAAATGACAACCTGTGAAATGTGAAAGAACAATTCCTTCCACATGTTTCTATGCTCCGGGAACAGCAAAGTACTGTCAGCCAGCATCACTTTGGGATGGGCCAGGTCGCTGCAAAACGGTTCTGTCGAAATACGTTTCCCATTAACAACTTGCAGAGTTGTTTAAAGCCTCTTTTTTAACCTTTTGTCCAGCAGATCTGAACATTACTTACTGAAGCCAAATGGGAAGCAATTCTGCAACTGGATGTCTTCCAGAGACCTTTGACATCAGGAGACCAACAGATCGGAGAATGGGAATGTCCACCTGAATTGAGGCTGATATTTATCTTCTACATATCCAATGAAAGTTCATTAAATACTCTTTTTCTGTTGCAATGGGACTAGAATTGCATTAGGCATTTACAAAGCATGATCTTGGGTTTGAGTTGCATGGGAGAACAACAAATAAACCAGGTTCACTCGGCATGTTTATTATTTTTGTTTGATGTCTTTCTGTTTAATGTTAACATGTCCTCTCTTGTTATTTAGGATCCACTATGTGATAAACAATGAAACATATTTAGATATTCAGTAAAATGCATGGAAGAGGCATATGGATATACAGAGAAACATATTCATTATAGAATAGAGATTCTAGTAATGATTATAGAATCATTATTATAGAAGATTTCTCTGCTCTTCCCAATCCCAAATAGCAGACATACTGATGTCCAAATTGCTCATGAGATTCCAGGCATAGAAAGCATCCCAAGTCAACTGCTTTACATTGATTGAGTAAACTGTAGGTCTTGAGACAAAGGTGGAGTAGTAAAGGTAATAGGTTAGTAATATTGCCATTCTTTCTACCACAGGCCTGGGAAGTCTAAAGACTTCAATCAGATTCTAGAGAGCCATATTGTATGACGGTGGTGAAAGGACTTCAGTAGGCAGTAGGCTGGCCCAGAATCAAAATTTGCTTAGGTCACCTATGCCCTTTCTTTTAACACTCTTTTTAATTGTTCTTATTTGTATTCTTCCCCCAACCCTATTTTTCCCTTCTCTTTTTCCCTATGATACCTTATTTTTTCCTGAGGAATTTGGATAGAAAGGGATCCATCACTCCTATTTGGAAACTGGATTGTTTTCAAAACATTACATGATGGTTACAGTGTTTTTAGGGCTACAAATTGCTTACTGCATTCTAGAAGGATCCATATCTGAGTGCAGTTCAAATGAACAATGCTCAGAACCAAAGTATTAGCCCATAAAGCACATAAATGAAGGTCTTGATTTGCCTCAAAGGTGCCCTCCTGAAGTAATTCTGGCACCATACCATGGAAACCATCCCCATATCTCTAACACAGTGACCCTGCCTCTACTCCTATGTGCACAATGTATCAAAAGATGTCCTATTTTCTTCTTTTACCTCCCTCCGAAAAGTTCTTACAGCAGAGAAGCTGTCTATATAAACATGTCACATCCACCATAATGAGGTACATTTCATTAATGTTGTATTGACCTGTTCATGTCTCTGCTAATTTATTAAATAAAATGAGTTTGTGGATTACCACAGTCTAACAAATGACATTAAACTAGCCTGTTGACTTTCTTCTGATTCTCTTTTTTTAAAAAACTGTTAGTGCCTACTTACAATTTAATTGCATAAAATAGTTTTAGATTTCAACAGGAAGGAACCAGGAAGTGATGCATCTGACAGTTATGTGATTTATGTCCCAATAAATAGATCATACTACCAAATGAAACCTAAATTTGAGCTCAAAAGGTGCCAGGACTTCAAAGCACCTGTCAAATGGATTGTTCAAATGTCACTCCTCCCCACCTCCCACTGAAACATATGACATTACTTTTCTGAAGTAAATTCCCCCAATCAGAGCTCATGGGAACTCATGGGAGCATGGGTGAGCTGCTGATGTCTTTCACAACAAAACATCTGCTACTAGGGCCAGGTTTGAAGGCTTTGATGCCTCTAAGCAGAAAGATTTCCTTCAGAATTCATAGAGCTATGCTTCATAAGAACTGCTACCTTAATAGGACTGTTGTTTTTACATGGATAATAGATTATATTTGTCTTTAAATAGGATAACTGGTACTAAACAGAAAACAAGTTGGTTTTAGGAGATCATGTGCATTCAGTGTTATGAAAGAGACCTTGCTGTAGGATTTTATTTCAAAGGATTAAAAAATGAAATATGGGTAAAGTTCTTATTATTTAGTTACTTGCTGGCCAATGAGCAGATAAAACGCCTTGTTTTTCATCACACAATCATCAGCAGTGCCCGTGATATTCCATGCTTTATAGCATTAGTGTAGTGTAATGTTCTGGAGATAGACAATGTAGATCAGTAGAGCATACATGTCCTATAGAAATTTAAACCAAGTTCAAGCAACAGTTCATAGCAGGCAATTCGGACTACCTTTTCCCATGATACTGAAAAACAGTATGAAAAGTGAACACTTGGAAAACTCTGAGCCTGATCTGGCTGTTAAAAGGGCCATCAAATGGGGGTTGAACTCTTATTAGCTATATGAATATAAATCTGCAATTTAAAGTTGTCCTCAATAGACATTTCAGTGATCTTTTTCCTCCTGTCCATCTACCTCTTCCCTCCAGTTTTCTTTTCCCCATTTTTGCCAAGCACAGTCATTTTTTTTCTAGCCCAACATCATCTAGTAGAACCTTATGCCTAAATATGTGAGTCTCTGCTTGATTAGTCTGCTTGAGTGTTGCTTACTATTGTAATTAGTTCTTATCAGAAGTCAGTACAGCAGGACTTCTTCCAGTAGATGGTACCCATAGTACCTTGTACTCTGTAAATTATCTTTGTTCTGTTGTTCTTTCTCAAAATCTAGGTTTCAGAGTCATACTTGACCAATAGAAAAAACTATTGCCTTAACTATTCTGAACTTTGGGGTACTGTTTTTTGAACAATTAATCTTCCCTTTACTTTTCTGTCCATTTGAATCTTCAACCCAAGAAACAAAGCTATCTACCACTTTTACTGTCAGGTGTAAGTTCATTAGGGATGTTGGTGGATATTAGCTTGCCTTTATAATAACTGACATTTTTTCCACTTTCCTTTTATAGATTTTTAATAACCTCTTCTACATCTTCTTTCATTTCAGCTCCCACAGTAGTATTATTTACACATCTCTCTTTTAGTGTTTCAACCTTCCATTATCATCTCTTGCAATCATGCCATTCTTCAAATATTTTCAATATTGGAAAATATTAATCAAATGAAGGACAATATACAACTAGACTGATACTATGGGTGATGTCATTCAGCATTATCTGGGGTTCACAGATTCCATACCCTGAAATTAATGAGTATATTGAATATTAATGACCTTGGGAAATGGGAGGTAGAGTTTGTCTTCCAATCAGAAACCCTAGATCGTCACTCATTCTGGCTGGAGAATTCTGGCCTTGAAGTCCACACATCTTAAAAGTTGCCAAGGTTGAATGTAACTTAGAATTAAAACTGTGTTTTCAAGACAAGCTACAGTTTGTAAAATCCCATATACTGATTAGTCTCTCATTATTAGAGTGTTTCAATGAGTCTTCTTAAGGCGCAGACTTCATTGTCATTTAGGTTTGTCTATTTTCTAGCTTGCATTTCAACATTAGCGTCACTTTAGCACAATTTTATGTTGTGTCCCAACCGAATAAATAGAGTATTTATGCAACCTATCAGTTTGCTGCAGATCATAAATGTATTTGTTCTGTTGGAAAGAAAAAGCTGTAAGGTTTACCACGTGTTTTCTAGTTCCCTAAGGTTTGCTCCTTTAATTGTAAATAGCCAGAAAGTCATCAAGCTAACGTTTAATAAACTTTTAATTTGAAATGGATTGCCACATATTGTGTTTGTTTGCCCATTATTAAATCTCTTAGCAACATATCACTAGCAGAAACAGCATACTGTAGCATTGAACTGATATATATTAGAAAACAAACCCACAGGGGATATTAACAGCTAATAATATCTTTTTTAAAAGCTCGAAGTAAATAAATAAATACAAATGATACAGAGAATTATTCTTAGGGATATTGGGGAAGATTGGGGGAAGTAGAGTTTCAATTATTCAACTGTATATCCAGTAGGTTTATTTTTTAAAAAAAACTTGGGAAATGAGCATATTCATTTAACAGTGCATAACTCACTTATGATTCTTTGCATCTGCCCCTGTCTATTAATATGGTACACACACACACACACACACACACACATATGGTATTCAGTTTTGTTCGGGTATTTTCCCACGTCATTATAGTTGTGCTTTTAAAGTTGTAGCGACGTTTCGGCAGAATCTCATCTGCCATCATCAGGCTTGTGTATTGCGTTCGTCTTGGATACACAAGCCTGATGATGGCAGATGAGATTCTGCCAAAACATCTCTACAACTTTAAAAGCACAACTATAATGATTTGGGAAAATACCCGAACAAAGCTGAATACCATATATATAAATACCTGTGAAAACTTAAGAAAATGTATGTATGTATGTATGTATCTATATCTATAACTATATCTATATATCTATTTATCTATCTATTCCCAAGGAGGTATCATATTCAAATCAGTGTTTACAATAATCCATCTATTAGATTAAGTTTACAAAGAATGAAGAGTGGGACATATACTGCCCTGTTTCTTTTCTGGTTCCTAATACATTGTTTGGCACTGTTCCTAATACATTGTTTGGCATTGTTTGGTAATTTAGAATGATGTATCAATTGTAAGGTTATAGATCTTGTAAAGGCAGCACAGAATCTTTAATATCCTTTTAAGTTTCCCCTGTGAGGTTGGAATGGCATTTCAGGATCCTTAAGACATTTTAAATTTTGCGGAGACATCTGAGAGGATAAATCTAATATCAAAAACTCCTCCCTGCTCCTTGGAGTTTCAGAGGTCAGATTTTTTTCCCAGTGTCAAGGATGTACTGAGAAAATACTTTGGATTTGTTAGGTCCAAACCCATCAGCTAGACAAACATTTAACATAAGAAATAACTTGGGGTGGGATTCAACCAGTGTAACAACTGGTTCAGTGAGTGCGTGTGCACACGTGCTTCTAATACTAACTTTCTACAGCAGCCCCAGTGAGTAAACAGCTAAGGAATGGCAATCTGCTGTGCTGCGTGACTCAGCTGAGCTTCAAAAGACAGAAATAAAGGACAACATAGGGCAGGGGTGCGTGGGTGGGGCCAAGCGAGCACCAGAATGACCGGTTCACCCGGTAGCAATGTAGGTAGACTGGCTGAATCGACACGGGTAGACTGGGCTGAAACAGTAGAATCTCACCCCTGGATATAACTTGTGCTACCTCTAGCGTTGATATAGACAATTTCTCTCCCCAGATAAGAGAGTGATAGGCTTTTCTTGCTCCTATCAGCAAGACTTTAGATTTCAAAAGGTTTATCGCTTCCATAAATGATTAAAACAACAACAAATTGCTTCCATAATTGGATTCTTCCAGATGTGTTAAGGTAATAACACTCATAACTGTGGCATATAGGTAGAACAAGGCTGGGAAGATAACTATACAATAAGATGCTGAATGATTTTTTAAATTTAATGAATGTAAACAAAGAACATGTTAAACAGTATCATAGTAGACAGGAACTTTTTTAGTATGTCATTTCACAACCCACCTATGATTTCCTTTGAAATCCCATCCTTCTCAGCAGTACTTGAATACTGAAGAATTTTTGAAGACGGCTGAAGGCCCACTTCATATTTATACTCTTCATTTGAATACCATGGAAGTTTAATTATCTGATAAGAGAAAACATTTTTATATGAATAGGTCAGCCATATGCAAAATTATTCTGCTAATATTCTCAAAGGTTCAATCAAAAGGGTTTATCTGGGATTCTTTGGGAACACCCACCACATGGGTCCACCAGTTATTAGCTATTTCTTAATTCCTGTAATTTGTGTCCTAAGTGCTCTCAGTGTGCAGTGCAATAATTTAAAAACACAACTGTCTATCAATTTGTGAATCCAAGGATTCAATTATTCCCCACAGCCATAATCCTCAATGGACCCTCTAAGCTGACTTTGAAGTTCAAATATGAAAGTAAATTTTAAGTCATACAGTTTTTAACATTACTTTATAGTTAAATATAGCCAATTCATACATATTTTTAACAGTTTAATTTCTGAACAGAATTCCAGTCCTTTGTATAAAGGTAGAGAGTAATATAGTTCCAAGGCATATCAATCTCTTTTTTTTCATTACCATCATTCATATAAGCTTTACTTCATCCATATATATATAAATTATAGTAAGACAAGTAGAAATAGAATCTGCAATTAAACACAGATGTAGCACCATTATTATTATTTTGGTTTATGTTGTTTTTTGGAAGAAGTAAGGAGAATTTTTTAAAAAATGATTAAAAGTTAAACGGATAACGAGCAAGTAGTGGAATAATAAATCCAGAATATCAGAAAGATGACTATATTTTAAATATCACTAGACACTTACAATGTCATATTATCCACTTTCTAAACAACAAATGGACCTATTGAACTTTAAGTAAAAATGCTTGATTAACACAGTGTAAATCATTAGCAAAAAAAACATGAACAATATATTAAATTAAGATGTATCATTCTGAAGATGTTGCACCTACCTGAAAATAAAGATTGCATAGCCAGTGATCCAAATCAGAAGAAATCAACTTTTCAATTTTTTGGAATCTATCAATTCTGGAATCATAATGACCTCTGAGAAGAGGACACTTGAACTTCCCATCCACGATTTCCAAATTATTATTACATAAAGGAAAAACTCCCCAGCCCACAACTCTGCCAGAAGTTCCTTGGAGAAGAAACAGCTCAAAAAGAAGTATTTCTCCAGGCTTCCCATTCTTTCTAACTGGAACATCCTAAGAGAAAAAAGAAAAATTACCCATATAGTTCACCAGCATCACTGCATTGATGCAACACTGATTTCAACATTTCCCTCCCTGATGATCTCACCTGACATCTGTGGCTGTTAGTAGAAGAACTAGTTAGACCAGGGGTGTCGAATTCAATTTCATTGGTGGCTGCATCAGGGCTGTGGTTGACCGCAGGGGGGAGGGGGAGGGGGCATGGCTGACTGGGTGATTGTGGCCAACTGGGTGGGTATGGCCAGCTTGACTCCACTCCCCAAACTGCTGGCATGTTTCCTCTTCACATTGGGTAGACTGGGCCAAGCCACGCTGGCCTGATGTTTCCTCATCGCATTGGGTAGACTGGGCCGAAGCAACGTAAGTAGTCTGGGCTGAAGCAACATGGGTAGACTGGGCTGAAGCAATGCAGGCCGGCCCCTTACATTTTCCAGTATGGCCCATGGGCCAGATCCAACCACATTATAGGCAGGACCGGACTGCGGGCCTTGAATTTGATACCCCTGAGTTAAACTAAACAGTGGTGATGGGATGGTTGTAGTTCAGCAAACTTCCCTCCATTTTTATTTTTTATTTTCTCTTTTATCACTTTGGGTGTTGAATGGTAGATTCAGAACTTTAGTTCTTGCACTCCTCCTGGCTTCAACCATTGTTATTTGATGCTGCTGTGGCATGTCTTTGGTGTTGTCTTTCCATCTTCTTCTGGGTCTGTCTCATGCTCTTTGACCTTCTTCTCTTTTTATAATAGCTTTATAAGGTACGGAATCCTCAGACATTCTCTCCAGATGAGCAAACCACTTTATTTACTGCCTTTGAATGTAGTTTTATGCCTTTGAATATTGGTTTTATCCCAATTCTTTCCCTTATAATCTCATTCCTTATTCTATTACCTTCTAGTCACTCCAGCAGCTTTCCTCAAACCTCTCATTAACTTTCATTGTAAGTGTCCATGTTTGGCACTGGTAACATAAGGTGGATATCAATATGCTTTGTACGAGATGTTTCTTCATACTAATCGGTACTGCCTTTTATTGTAGGAATGGAGTTAGCTGTTCTTCTTCAGTAAAACTTGTAAACGTTGTTCCTAAATACTTCAACTCTGATACTTGTTTTCCTTCTATTACTATGTTTAGGATGTACTTTTCTCTTTCGATTACCATTATTGTGTACTTTCTTTACTAATTCTTTCTTTACTAAATACTAATTCTCGTATTATTTGCCTTACATTCTTGGTTCATGGGCACGAGATGTTTTTCCAGTTGTTCTTGTTGTCCCACCATTTCTGGCCATTTTACTTAGCATATTGCATGAATCAGACGTCAACCTTATAGATGGCACAGATTAAGAAAAAGGCACCAAGTAGAACTAAAACTACTGTGCTTTTATTAGGATAGAAAAGTAATTTTATTAAAATTACTATTAAAACTAACAGGTTTTTTTTAAAAAAAATAACAGAATCCTGCAAGTGTGAATGTGCCAGCCTTCCTCCTGCTTTTATCTACATGAGAATTGGAGGGAAAAGCTCTCTGAGGCATTTTTGCAAATTACTTTCTTGGCCCCGGCTCAAATTTTGTTTATCTGATTGCTGTCTTGGGAGTAGGTCTTCTCTTCATCCTTCAAGGCCACCCTTCAAGGTCTTCTTTACTAAATCAGGTCATCATTAAACCATAATGTCTTTTATTTGTGGGGGAGCATACGCTCCCAGCATAATATGTGAACATAGGAAATGTATTTTGTTAAGCCAACCAAATTCTATAAAAAGCAAGGGAGTGGAATGAATGAAGGTTTCTATATCAAGCCCATTACAAAGCATTAAAATAATTTCTTCTTTTAAATATAATCCTAAAAAATAAGCTATTTTTGACATTTCTCCTTTCTAAAAAGAACCATGAAGCCCATTTGATTTGCAATGCATCACCAATTTTTTTTTAAAGAAAATAGGGAAAAAAAATAGTAGTGGGATGAACAAAACAAGAAAGGGGAGAAATATGAATTAGTTTAAACTTTCAAATTCAGAAGTGGATTTGAGGAGACATAGGTGGAGTCAGCTGATTCGAAGGCTGAACTAGGCTCGTTTCCAAGCTTAGCAATATATGATAAATTGAAAAATGCAACATCAGTTAAGCTATCTAGTAGAAAGAAAAAAGAGAGTGATTTGTTAACTGGTAGTAACAGTGACCTCTTTATATACAGGAACATGAAACATAAGGAAACCTGGGGAGGGTAATCAATTACTTGATCAATCACAACAGATCCCACCTCCTCCCACTCTGCTCCCAGGCCTTCCATGGGTCCTTAGGTTTTAATGTTTGATTTTTAACTATGTTTTAATCGTATATGTATAGACATATTTTTCTGATTGTAAGCTACCCAGAGTTACCCTAGGGTAAGATGGGCAGAAAAAACATTTTATAAATAAATAAATAAAATAAATACAACCTGACTGCTCTTTGTAGTAATCATTGTTCAATTTCTGCCTGCCAAGTTTTTATTTGTATGCCTTTTTGGATTACTTGGATGAACTTTTGACTGGATAAGACTGATCTCTCTTGGGTCATTTCCAACCTCGTGCTTGCTCTCTTAGGAATATCTGAAAGGTAACTTTTGTGTTTTATTCTTTATGCAAAGTATCTCAGCAAACATTGTTCCTATCAACGGGGAGTCTGAACTGAAACTTTTAACTTCTGCCTCTAAAGATCAGTTGCTCCAACTATATGTCATAATTTATTATCTTCAAACAGGACCAAACATAAGCCTGAAATACAACAATTGGAGTTTTTGTGCATTACTGTCATTGGTAGCCTCTATACCACCACTAATGAAATAGTCAATTCTACGTAATAGTCATAGAGGATGGTAACTACATCACAAAGTCTGCAACCCAAAACAAAACAATAGTGTATTGGAGATAGTTACCTATCCATCTGCATATATAATGAGTGTTGCTTTATAAGCAGGAAGAGTCAGGATTTCATCCCTCTCAGTTCTGAAGTTCATAGTCTGATTATGTTTATAGAATGATTAAAAACAGAGGGAACCTAGGGTTGTATGGGGAACAGAGGGTTGTATGGCAACCTACTTCTAGCAAAGAAGGTTAAAAACATACATTCTGTTTAATCATTTCAGTTATCCTTAATGTGAGCATTTGATAAAGACCAACAACAGAGATAATAAACACAAAATAAATCTATCTCTATCCTCTATCATAATTTTAGTTTTGTGCCTTTAATAATTTTAAAACCTTTAATAATAGTAATATTAATCCTTATTGTATATATTATTTTTAGCTTTGCTGTACACTATCCAGAGTCATTCCTTGGCCATATAAACATGAGTAAATAGATAATAAATAAATGTTACTGCATTTCAGAATTTATGACTGCAAATACTTTGCCTGGAAAAGGTGGCTATATATTCATGAATAGAGCCACTGGAAGCAAAATACCTATCTGAGATCCATCCTCTTGTTTTTGGTTGAAATGACCTTGCTAAGAAATGTAATCCCATTGATATAATTTTACTTGCATCTTTTTCATTTTGGAAATGGTTCCAATTTTTTTCTAAAGAATTCATGTGAAATTTGGAAATTCTACATGAAGTTTGGAAATTGTAACAAAGTACTGATAAGGAAGAAAAGCATTTCAGTGTTTCTTTTTTCTTTCTTTCTCTTTGAAATTATAAACAATATCACTCTTAAATATCTGCCCACTTTACAGAAATGATTGTGTTTAAAATGAAACAAAAGCATCTACTGACAATGCCATAACCCTGCAACAATTGCCATTATACCACTGATAGTAACTGATTTGTTTCAGCTTGATTTGCATTTTTATAGGAAATAAAACCTATGGGGGTTTATAAATATTATTTAACAATTAAGAGTGAAATGACCTCCTCTTCCTTGAATCTTTGATTTGTACAGAACAAGCTCAATTTAAAATTAAAGAGATTTTTTTTTCATTGAAGATAAATTGCTGCATGCTCAGTTGTCCAGAAACAGGATTTTTCAGTTTAGAGGCATTTATTTAATTACATTAAATAAGCTAGATAGTATATGCAGTCAGAAAAGTTATTGCTGCTGCTATTTTCATCTTACAAAGAAGACAGAGTATTGTGGTCTTTTACTTTTACCTCATAAAATCCTATAGTTTCAAATGTACTTTAACTTCTATGCAATTTTGTACACACTTTTGAAAAGGACTGCAAAGTTTGGCAAAGTGGGAAGATTCACAAATAGTCACGTTCCGGTTTCTGTACAGGTTTTAGAGCACATAAGTTTGATAAGTCAGCATCAAAGTGATAACTATTGTTTTTCCCATCCGTACACAAAAATCACACCCTATACTATGCTCACTAAGAATGGCAAGAGTGGGACACAGTACACAGAACTGCTACTTGAGGCCGTGTCCATATGCTCCAATATGTCATGCTTTGGAAAGCATTCCTATCTGAATTTGTCCAAAAAATGAGATGCCATTAGCAGAAGCCATGAACTTGCAAACATGTGGTCTTTTGTTCAATTACTGCCTCTCCTATATTTTAGCTTCAATGTCTCCCCCACCAAACTATCTAATTCTTAGTTTTTATTTAGAAAATTAATATGCCACCCACTCCGTTAATAGGTCTGGTTGACTTATAAAGGAAGAATAAGAATTCCCATAAAACCAATATAAAATGCATAACAGATGGAGAAGTTTTTAGAACAAAAACCAATTCAAACGTTAGCTTTACAAAGCCTCGATAATTACGTATGGGGCTTTCAACTGCAGTGTGAAGTCAGCTTGCTTAAAGTCCAGTGAGATTTTTTTTCTTCACAATATAGGCCTCACAGTGGAGAAAGCCAAATTGGTGATTAGATAATAAATGTATCCATGGCAGGATCTATAAAAGGATGTGAGTATATTGAACAATAAACAGACCTGTAAGGCTTTATTTGCACATCTTGTGTTCAGAACCAACCAGTGAAGTAATGTAGGGTATCAGAGACAAACTGT